GCCGGCTTCCGTAGCGTCATGAACGCGCAGGTGCGCGCTTTCAGGAAATCCTAATCATGTTTTGGGTGTACTATTCCTTTAAAGATATTTCAGTTAGTGGAAAAAATTGCGGCGGGGAATATAATAAAAAGTCTTATCGACAAAAACTTTTTGCGACCCCCATGCAGTAGATCCGTGGACCCGCTAGAGGTCGCGGACCCCCTGTTGAAGACCTCCGCCCTAAAATGAGAGTGGTATCATCTACAAACCTCAGGAGCTTTATGGACCTTTTTATCCATCTTCACCTGCTTCATCCTTTCTGTCAGCAAGTCTATGCTCCACCTGCAGGCGGAGTCAGGAGCTGGGTATGCTTAACCGGCAGTAGGAATGTGATGATGGTGGCGAAAGCAAAGCTGAAGTCCACTAACAGGACCTGGGGAGGGTTCCAGGCGAGTCTAGGTGCTGCAGGACGTGCTGAAGAGCCATGTTTGTTGCATCATCCATAGACCTGTTGTCTCTGTTGGGGAAATGTAGTAGATCCAGAGGTTTAATATGGATCAATACCAGGCCCTCAATGATGTTGGGGTTTATGAACTCTTCTCTGGTGTATGAGCTGCACATTGACACAAAAAACAGAACAAAGTTCACCAAAAAACAAGATAGCTATAGCATTAACAGAAGGGTTTGTTTGGTGAGTTTTATTTGCCAACATGACACAAGAAAATACTACAGCTCTGTACACCCTGGATCTTTACTCTAGATTGGAGCCCACTCCAGATTTTTCTTTTTAAAGGATCTAGTTTTAGAGTTTCAGGGGGTCCTGAATGAAATTTTGTTTTGTTTCTTTAATGGTTTGATATTCATGTGTGAATCTGATCAAGTTTCTTGTTGCCAGACCCAAAGGGGCACCCGTTGAAACAGACCCACAGCATCACAGATCCTTTAAACGCACCTAATGGTCTGCATGGGGTCCCTTTCAACATATTCATTCTTTGTTTTCTAACTGAAAGTGGATTTTCATTGACAAGAAGCTCCTTTTAGTCTTATCTGGTTATATCCCATTGGTTTCTGTTTGAGTCTCAGTGGCATAAAGTGAACTCCACATTTCTCATGGTTTTTAACATCTGTCCCAAACAGCCAAGCTGCCAGTGGTGTTTGCAAATGGGGCCAAATTTCATTTTATACTTCTGGGAAAAAGGAAATCCTGATTTGTAGAGGTAGAATATGCGCCCAATATACAGAGTTGATTCCCATCCTTGAGACATTTAGGTCATGAACTCAAACACACAACCGAGTTCCACTGTACAAACACAACCAAAACCTCAAAACTTTTATTTCAGAGGAATATTGTACCAGATTACACAGTTGAGATTAAGTGTAAATCTACAAGTGTTACAAAAGCAAGATTTTTTTTTTTCTCACATTTTTACTTTGTGCAGCCATGTATATGATGGGTGCTGAATGTTTCCTGTGATGAGGAGGCAGAAATGCAGTAAATTCCCTTTTGTCATTCCTTTGTTCTGTGGAAATTGATCTGACCTGTGCTGCAGGGAGGACAGAAGTGATCCTCGCCAAACTCTTTGTTGTTCTGATGGTTCATCTGTTTTTGTCTTTAAAGAAGCTGCTGGTTGGGGACTTTCCTCATGAGCTGGAAGTGGACGACATGGAGGAAGACGTACCGAAGCGCAAGAACCGTACCAAAGCACGGGTAAGACAGAGTCTCTTTGTATTCAAGTTATCCCAGAAAGTCCGCTTGGCGTTCTATGTGAGAATAGTGAGAAATAGGCCAGCCAGAGCTCAGAGTTAAACACTGATGAAACAAACGGTGACCTCTGTGTTACCAGGGACTAACCCAAAGTACATCAGAGTCTTCCGTCTCACAGTGTGACATGTAATCATTTGTCAGTCCTCTGCATACTACGCTAATGTAATGAGATTTCCTCTGACAACGCAGGGCTTGGCCCGATTAAAAGCAAACAGATCAAGAGATTAAACCATGCTGGGGTGACCTCTTTTTTTTTTTTTTTTTCTTTTTTACAACTTTGATTAGAGCACAGAGGTCGTATTTCCCTACTCTTTTTGTGCATCCTATGGGAGAATAATCAAGTGATAACAATGTTTCCTGAAAAATCATCCCACACACATGCAGGGATACACACAGACTATCTCGCTCACACACACAGACACCAGGGCTGCTAATTGGAACTGTTGCTCCCCTGCTAGGTGTCATCAGCCCCCTCCTGCTGGATGTGTAGCTTTGCACTGAGAGCAGATGATTAGAATCCAAACGTGCATGGCTGTGCGAGGAGACACTCCAACACACAAGCGAGGGCTGTTCTGTTATGCTCCTATTTTTTTTCATGCACCTTCATACAAGCCACATGTGAAGGGGTGCAGCAGTTCAAACTTTGTTTGTGTCTACCTTTTCAGGAGAGTTCTTACATGTGTGTTTGTGTGGGTGTTTATTTACAGGCCTATGGTGTCGGAGGAATGAGGAAAAGACAAGAGCTGCCTGCCATTGAAGACAGAGATAAGCCTTACGTTTGTGACAGTGAGCGTGATGTCTTTTACAATGTCGTATCTGCATCCTTTTATTTTTGTTCTCTGAGTTTATCATCTTTATTCATTATACAGTGTTTTGCATTAACTTTTGTTAGAAAGCAGACACTCTTTAACAACTTGTTGGCTTTAAAAATAGCAACAACAAAATGACAGGAACACAACTTCATAAATATGCCTCATATGTTATTATTAAGGGTGTAACAATGCATGCAACTTTGAAACAATATATGATTTTAGCAATATTATTTAAGAAAACTAATAATTTGTCACAATTTGGCTATGGTTAGTTGACACAAAAGCAGAGGCAGGCAGGCAGAGGTGAATTTATGGTAGATTTAATGAAGAGTAACTGGAAAAACAAAGTCCAAACAAACAAGAAACCAGGAATCCAAAATTTTAAACATAAGAAAAATTATTAGAAAACAAACCAGAAAACCATGGAGACATCAGGGAATCAAAACCTCAAGGAGGAAGGCTCAGAGAGACAAAGTTGGATGGTGTATGACAAGGACCCAGCAAAGAGGAACTAAAGAGAGGAGGTTTTTAAAGGAGACTGAGACAAAGAGAGGGCTAATGAGTAAACTGGGAGCAGGTGTGCACAGAACAAGAGAGGGAAAGAGCTTGGGAAGAAGGAGAACATAAGAGGGCAGCAGAGAGCAACAAAGAGAAACCTGGAAGACTGGATGTTAACAAAAAATAATTAAATTACTAGGACTATAAAACGTAGAGAAAAGAAAACTAAACACTCAAAAGAAAACATAACAGAACCCAGACTAGGACAGAAACTGGAAAAAAAAAAACACACCAAAATAAAAATAAAACCACTAACACTAGAAAACAAGGAGCAAAGCAAAACTGGATACTCAAAAGAAAAACATAACAGAAACAGAAACCTGACATAATTACTCTCCTCTGTTTTCACATATAGTATAAAGCTTTTAAATATCTTTAAACCGTGTAGATTGAGTCCAGGCTTATTTATTCCTTGTTCAATGAATTGGATGGATGTCTTATTTTAAGGTTGTACTGATGGAAAAAAGTCCAAGAAAGAATAAAGTTGTATTTTCATAAAGGAGTTAATGATTAATAAATCTCTAAGTGAAATTTGCATTTGATTCGACTGTATATGTTATATCTTTACAATCGCTGATCAAATGCTTACTTATTTTGGTAAAGGCAGTGTTTCCGGATCTCTTAAAAAAAGCAAAAAAAAAAAAGAAATCCTTTTAAACTGTGTTTTTCTTTAGCGACTCCTTTTTACAGTGTTGCTTAACATCCCCTCATATCAAACTGGAAAAATAACTTGAGTAAAGTTTACAAAAAGCTTTCTGACAATCACTTTTCTCTGCATTAGCCATTTCACATTCCGTTGTCTTTTGTCAAATTTTGCATTAAAATCTGTTTTCTGTTCTATTTTAGCATCCATACCCTAAGAGCATTTATTTTACATCAGTAAAATCTGGGACATTGTTTTGATTTGTGGGATAGCAGAAGAGAAGTAAAAACATGCGGCAAAGTCACGAACAAACTGGGACATCTGGTCAATCGGGGTACAGTAAGGTGACTTCTGAAATCAAATCTAGGGACATTTTCAGCTCGTAGATGAAAAGAAATAGATTTAATCAAGATGAGATTAGGAAACTGGGACAGTAATGGTTTTTAAATATTTATAAATACTTAAACAACAAAATCGTTACTGAGGTCAGACACACCTGGATTAATCGGTTTGTCCAGTAATGAAAGACAGCAAACAAAGGAACTGGCTGATGTTTTGGAAGTAGTGGAGTTGTGCATAGAGCCTGTTTGGGACAGGAAAATATGTTGTGGTCATGTAAGGTGAAAATATGGAAGAGGATTAGGGCCACTGAAAAAAAAAAAGTAAACTTATTTTTAAATTTTATTTCAGTTTAACATGGGAAAAAAGTCAGAATTCTGAGATTAAAGTCAGAATTCTGACTTTAATCTCAGAATTCTGACTTTTTTCTTAGAATTCTGACTTTAATCTCAG